GGATTGAGGGTAGGATTGGGAGGGGAGGAGGAAGGGAGCTACAGGGGGGAATACAAAGTGAATAAACTAATTATTAAAAATAAAAAATGTTAAAAAAGGAACAAATTATCAAAACTTCTGGGGGGGGGAAGAAAGTTCTTAGGAGGAAGGGTGGGAGTGGAAGGGGATGAGGGAGGGGGCTACAGCTGGGATACAAAATGAATAAATTGTAATTAATAAAAAATAAATTAATTTTAAAAATAAAAAAAGAACAGACTCCATATGTTACACAGAATCATCCCTAGCATGATTATAGACCGAAACAAAAGGTGAAACTTCAGAACCTTGTAGTGTAGTGAAGGACAGTGTCTTCCATGGTTTTGAGGTAAGGAAAGAAGTTACTCCTGGTTAGCAGGCTAATCCAAAGAGGCAGATGTATAAATTCAAGAAGACCAAAGGAATTTGCTTCCTAGGTTAAAAATCGCTCTTATAGGGAGTGGGAAGGAAGTCCACTGACCGTGCCTGTCTGTACAAACGCTACAGAATTACCAGTTTGTTACAGGTTAGCTTCTGTCTCTGTAGCATTGTGAAGTAGTGCAGGGCAGAGGCACAAACCCCAGAGAGTCAGATAATAGGGAGCAATGGGCCCCAGCAAGTTTCCATGGGACCTCATTGTTTTTGACCTGTGTTAAAAACTATGATTTATGCCTACACAGCCATAGTTGAAAGGTATATGTTAGCTAATGACATTTGTTTACTTAAGCCCTGTACCTAAATTTTGTACCTAAATGTTAAGTGAGCAAAAAGTACTGATCTGGCCCAAATCATCCCCCCCCAAAAGCCATAATTAATAATTAATTAATTAATTAATTGAAAAACAGATCAGCCTGTTCTATAAAGCGAGTACAGGACTACACACAGAAAACCATGTTTTGGAGGAAAAAAAGGCCATAAAAAATATAATTTAATTTAACTTTATTGCTGATAAATAGAAAAAATTATATTTTTAAAGTGCATCACTTATCCTTTAAAACTAAAATCTGCTTTCTGATAGACTGAATAAGTGTGTTTTAATATTTCATGCCAGTAATATCAACATGTTTAGAACACTGATAAAGTATACAAAATAGATAGCATGAAGTCTACAAATAATTGCCCATCAAATGGTTCCTTTAGTTGTTTGTAATCTAATTATTTCAGAAAAACAAAACAAAACTGGGGACACTCAAACAGTATGCACTAGTGAAATCTGAGGGGTTTTGGCACATGTGAGCCTTCTCTCTTTAGTTTTCTAGAACGATACTGATCAACTGTCTAGCACATTTGCTGGCCTCTTCGTGCCTTGCCTGGCCTTATTAATAGATTGCAGCATTCCACTTGTTAGTACCATAGACGGGAGAAACTTTTATCACTGTGCTTTTGGTTAGGATAAAGAGAGAAAAAGTCTTTTTATGGTAGTTGGGTCCTCAAAACCACTCTCTGTGTTTGGTGATAAGGAGCAGATTTGGCTGTCACACAGAGCTATATTAGCTTATTATCTACAAAGCTGATATTACCTCTTCAATTACCTCCTTGTGCCAGGAATCTGTCTCAAGTAAAGGTTTGCAGAGCTGGGGACACCACTGTACTTTGCTTCCTCATAAGTACCAGTAGGGTTAAACCTTCTTTCATAGAATTCAAAAGTGCATGTAATTTAAAAGCAAAGCTGTGGTGTTTTGCTCTGTATATTTAAAAATTCTCTAGAATACGTACCGCGTGTTGCTATGTATAGAAAACTCAGTGACAAACATTTCAGTCTACAAAGATGAGCTAAATTGTGTGTGCATGTGTGTGCATGTGCACGCATATGTGGGGGTGTGGAGGTGTAGGTGGAGCTGGAGGTGTGCTATGTGCACACCTGTGAAAACCAGGGGTTAACATTTCTATCTTCCTTGGTTACTTCTCTGGCTGATTTTTAAAGACAGTTTTACTGGAGTCTATAAGCCCTAGGCATCCTCCTGTCTCTGCTACGCGGGTGCTAACATTTGAGGTATGGACCATCATTACACGGAGCAATGGGGATTTAGTAAGTTTTCCCTTCCCCAGCCCTGAATTGCATACTCTTTAAGACACATGAAAACTTGGGGAAAGTACCCAAAGACTTAAAGTCACAATAAATCATCAGTTTTATTTTGCTGTTTATGTATAGATGCCTGTTACATTTGTTCTTTTGTTAGTGCTGTGTGGATTTTAAGTGTTCAGTGTGTTTTGGTCTTAGTGTTAATATTTCAGTACTGTCTGTCAGATAGAACTTACTACAATAGATGGTGAGGATAACTGAACAGCAGGACCTTTTTGGCTAAGTACACATAAATATACATGCAATATAGTTAGACTATGAGTCTGTAGAGCTTAAGGCCAGGGATGGGGGTGTAGTAGGTGTACTGTTTGCAACAGACTTAGGTTTAATGAGTTTCAAGAGTTGTGTGTACAATTCCTAACACAGTTTTCTTTCTTGTTTATCTTCTTTAGGTGTATAGATTTCTTTATGTTTATCATATCTTGAAGGCCTATATAAGTGGTGTGTACCATGTGTGTCTTTCTCCTTCTGGGATACCTCACTCAGAATATCTTTTCTAGATCCCACCATTTGCCTGCAAATTTCGTGATTTCCTTGTTTTTGATTGCTGAGTAGTATTCCATTGTGTAAAAATACCACAATTTCTGTATCCATTCCTCCGTTGATGGACATCTGGGTTGTTTCCAGGTTCTGGCTATTACAAATAAAGCTGCTACAAACATAGTTGAGCAAATGCCCTTGTTGTGTACTTGAGCAACTTTTGGATATATGCCTATATATATATACACACACACACACATATATATATGGTATAGCTGGGTCTGGAGGCAGCACTATTCTTGATTGTCTGAGAAAGCGCCAGATTGATTTCCGAAGTGGTTGTACCGGTTTACATTCCCACCAGCAGTGGAGGAGGTTCTCCTTTCTCCACAACCTCTCCAGCATGTGTTGTCATTTGAGTTTTTTATTTTAGCAGATAAACAAGAAAGAAGACCCAGGGTAAGATGATCAATCCTCATTTAGAAAAACAAATGGGATGGGCATTGGACGTAGGAGAAGACAAGTAACAGGACAGGAGCCTACCACAGAGGGCCTCTGAAAGACTCTACCTAGCAGTGTATCAAAGCAGATACTAAGACTCAACCAAACCTTTGGCAGAGTGCAGGAATCATATGAAAGAAGGGAGACTTAATATAACCTGGAGAGGACAGGAGCTCCACAAGGATCAAATATATCTGGGCACAGGGGTCTTTTCTGAGACTGATACTCTAAACAAGGACCATGTATGGATATAACCTAGAACCTCTGCTCGGATGTAGCCCGTGGTAGTTCAGTAACCAAGTGGGTTACCCTAATAAGGGGAACAGGGACTATTTCTGACATGAACTCAATGGCAGGCTCTTTGACCTCCCCCCCCCCCCCCCACACACAAGGGAGGAGCAGCCCTGCTAGGCCAGAGAGGAGGACTTTGCAGCCAGTCCTGAAGATACCTGATAAAACAGGGTCAGATGGAAGGGGAGGAGGTCCTCCCCTATCAGTGGACTTGGAAAGGGGCAAGGAAGAGATAAGGGAGGATGGGATTGGGAGGGAATGAGGGAGTGGGATACAGAGTTAATAAAATATAACTAATAATAATCAAATAAATTAATTGATGAATTAAAAAATTCCTAACACAGGAGAAGCATTTGGAGAGGCTAAGCATGTCTGGCTTAGAACTTCTAGCACACTGAGTAAGATGCAATTTCAAAATCACTTGAAGAAACTTATAAAAAATTTCTCAAATTGTAATGTTCTGTGGATACATTACACTTGTAGGAAAAACAGGAACAAAACAAATATCCATAATCATTGCAAATCAAATTTCACAAGGTACTAAGATCATTGTATTAAATCTAAATTAACCACTAACTAGTAATGTGTGTGGGCTAGCTTTTGATCATCTTTGTTTCTGCTCCAGTAGTGGCAAGCATATTTGGGATATTTAACTTTAGTGCTGCTTTCAGTTGTGTTAGAAACTCTACGTAGTTCAGAACTGTTGAGTTGTCAGTAGCTACTTCAGGATTTTAAAAATGGAATTAAGCATTCTGGGGGTAAATTAATATTCTATAATCTTTAAGCCCTTAGAGGTTTTAGTCTTTTAAAAGTTAGTTGTAATTTCATGTTGACTTAAAAGAGAAACCAGAAAACTAACCATCTGCTGTATAATCAGTGTGGTCCAGGGAAATACTTCATAAACACTCAAGAAAGTTATCTGAGAAATCAATTCTGGATTAAAGCAAATTGAAGCAACAATAGAGAAGGCTAGCGATGGGAGAGGGGATGTATTCTGAGTAACTTTTCACTGCAGATTTTTAACGTCTGTAAAGTCACTAAGAATGTTGATATTCATTATACATAGGAAAGGGTCATTGTTGACAAATAAACATTGGTTTGAAACTTTTATATTTTAAGATTATATGCGAAAATAATAATATTTAAAAAGAGCAAATTAGCAGTAAATTGTTGAGATTCTGGGCAAATTCCTAATAAATAGGAGAAATCCTGATAGATAGATAGAAAATGATAGATAAAATGGTAGACATGATCCATGCATAAAGATGCTGTAATTTCTCAGCACATCATTTTAATAGATTCTTGTTACATTCTTATTGACTTCACTAACCAGATTCTGGGTGTGACTCAGACCATGAAGTGATTTTAGAATTCTCTAAGCACTTTGAAAGGGAAGAGTCCAAGTAAGCAAGTACTCTTTTTCATAATGTGCAGTGGGAGAGCTCAGTTTGTTCCTATCTTAGGCTTATGTTACTTGGAGAACTGTAGTGTATTTGTAGTCATTTAATAATCATTCAGTGGCTCTTAAATAATTCCGTTTATTCAATCTGTGCTCCCTTAACACATTTAAAAAAAAATACTCATGGAAAGTTAGTATTCTTTTTGTGTGAATTCTCCAATTGTATTTCAGACTTTAAGAAAGAAAGGCCTTAATGGTTGTGAGAGCCCTGATGCTGACGATTACTTTGAGCACAGTCCACTCTCGGAGGACAGATTCAGCAAACTAAATGAAGATAGTGATTTTATTTTCAAACGAGGCCCTGTAAGTACTTTCACTTTACCTTTGCTTTTTATTTGTTGATCCTTTTTGTTAACTTCATATTTAGGCTCTGAACAAGAAGGAACACAGAGGGTGCGACAGCCCAGACCCTGATACTTCATATGTGCTAACTCCACATACAGAAGAAAAATATAAAAAAATTAATGAGGAATTTGATAATATGATGCGGAATCATAAAATCGCAGTGAGTACTAAAGTATGGTTTGTGCTTTTATCATGTGCATGAAGAAATTGATCATACATCCTACCTCATTTTTACAGAAGATTGATGACGATAAGTATAAGAGAAAAGGCATTTATTAACTCTTTTTGGTTTTACAGAACTTTAAAACTTTAAATTGTCAAAATTTTGCACTAATAAATGTTGAACATCTTAAGTTTAGAAATGAAAATACAACCTTAATTCAGGTTCTGCCACTGAGGGCCCCTTATATTCTTACATAGGCTATCCAGACATCCTGATTGCAATTGTTTCATCTGGAAGTAAATGAGTTGGTGCATATGATTTTTAAGATTGTTTCTCGTTTTGAAAATCTTTGATTTTTAATATAAAGTATGTATAAGACAGTCCTATCTTGCCCCTAACTTAGTATATGTATGTATAAACACATAAAGTTGGCCTTAAGAATGTCAAATATAAATAAGTTGAGTTTGTTGTATGATTTCATGCCTCTAAATTATTTTTCCTTATTTATGTAATTATCTTTATTTTAGAAGAGCTGAACTGTTAAACTCTTTGTACAATGTTCCAAAGCACTGAATAGCAAGAACACTAAATATATAACTGCTCTTTTCTTAGACTCTCAGCACTAAGGAGGACTGGATTGCTTTAAGGAAACCATATTCTTAAACTAGTCACAAAGCACACGGCCACTGTAATATTTCTTGCACATATCTAACCCTGTGAAAAAGTCTGTTTTGAGCTACCTCAGCTCATGAGCGTGGCCTGAAAAATCTCGGGAAGTCTTCTCCTTGGACTCTCTAGAGAGAGCCACCTAAGACCATTACTGTAGCTCTGTTCTCCAACTCTGAGTGTAGGTCAGCTATCATGAAACCGGTTGGCACCAGTGTTGGCATTTTGTTTTGTTGTTTGTTTATGTTTCATTGTCAAGGTTAAATCTCTTGAACTATGCCATAATGAATGATACGCATCATATATCATTTCTTCAACATAGTTCTATAGAAAGAATCTCATGAAAATAGCCTTAAGCAAATTTGTAAAGCTAATACCATCATTTAAAAAAGACAATAGCAAATAAAATTTCTCTGACCTCACAGGGATATTGTTCCCACACTTAAAAATTAAGCTGCAAGAATATAATCAAATTGTTTTACTGTTTGTGTGTTTCTTGACACCACCATACATACGTAAATTATTAAGAAGCAAGCTGTTTACCATGGTCAACAAATATATTGAAATTGGTCTGTGGAGGAAATGCCTGAAGAAACTAGGAAATGCCCTTTCAGAGAAAGCCTGAAATATTTTGACAAGAAGATAGCTTTTATAGTGTTTATAGTTTAATTTTTATGCAATTTTAAATACTTTGTTCTAGCTTAGCAGTAGTTAATCTTATTGTGTAGGTGTTTTTTTTTTGTTTTATATATTTCATTACATAGAAATTACATTGTGTTCTGTGTATAATTCCTTGACTTTTCTACTTTTAAAAGTGTCAATCAGATCATACTGAACTTATTTATAATGTCCCAAAATTGATGTATTAAGTTAATAATGTATGTGTACATTCTCATTTGGTTGATTTGGATTCTTCCAATAAAAATGGAATGTTAAATTGGTTTGTACTGAAGTTCTAATTAATGTTTAATTGGCAACAGTGATACACTTTATGATGTCTAAAGTCAACAATATACTTTAATTCCAGGTTTCACTTTTAATTTCATCTCTGAATAATTGAAACATGCTGTATAGTTATATTAGTATATTTGTATCAGTACAAAATTGAAAATGAAAAAGTTCATGTCAGGTATATTTATGTTCAAATATAATTCTAGAGAAAATAGCTTAATGCTGCAAATGAAAATATTGTCCCTGTCCTCTGCTTTTAATGAGAATTACATAGTCAAATTAATGTTACTTAATGTTGATGAATATAAAGCCAATAGTTTTCTCTTCCTTGTTCTTTACTTACAGCCTGGTTTGCCACCTCAGAACTTCTCAATGTCCGTCACAGTCCCTGTGACCAGCCCTAATGCTTTGTCATACACTAACCCAGGGAGTTCACTTGTGTCACCGTCGTTAGCAGCCAGCTCAACATTAGCAGATTCAAGCATGCTGACTCCACCGCCAGCCACGTTACATAGAAATGTATCCCCTGGAGCTCCACAGAGACCACCAAGTACTGGCAGTGCAAGTATGTTTTCAAGTTTTTGTTTGTTCTTTTATGAAGAGAATGAGAACTGAATTGCTGACAGAGAAAGTTTATTCTTCTTAGTCTTAACTTTATTGTCAGGCCAAGCATAGTGGTACACACCTATAATCCATCACTTGGGAGGCAGAGGCAGCCAGAACTCTGTGAGTTTGAGGATAGCCCAGTCTATGTAGTGAGTTCCAGGACTGCAAGGGCTATGTAGAAAGACCTGTCTCAAAAGACAAAAGTAAACAAACAAACATCCACTTTATTGTCAGGATGAGCAAGAGTCACCGCCATATAATTAAGTTCATTTTAAGTTTTTTTTTTTTTTTTTTTTAACATTTGTAGGGAAAGCATTGTTGACCAAAGTAGGACAGTGTAGAGAATGTACCATTTTATATATATGTGTATATATATATATCATGAGAAAGCCATACTGTGACAAGCAGAGAATTTAACTTGATTGTTGTAAGTGAAAATTTAAAATAATTATGAACCACCATGAGTGCATCTCTTCTTGCTGAGTTAGTTCAGTAATTCAGCAGCCATTTGTAGTGCATTTGCCACCAGTCTGTAGTTTGTATTGCCTTCCTCTAAGTCTTAAGTGTAATAGTGCTCATATAAGCTGTCCTTATTCCCATCAGGATTCACTACTTGATATTGATGTCCAGGATGGCAGGTATATAGCAAGAGCTTAATATTTAAATTCATGTATTGTGTAAACTACATAAAACCCCCCACAGCACATGTATAGTTAAACATGTTATATCTACAGTTATACTATAGTATATATAGTATAAATTATATCAAATTGAACATTAGTGGCAACTTTGAGCTAGTTTTGTTTTGATTTGATTTTTAGGGATAGAGTGCGTTATAGTGAGATGACTTCACTTGGCTATTTGTGAAATAAAGAAAGGCAATTTTTATTCATTCTCTCTTTTTTCTATAATATTGTTAGGTGGGATGTTGAGCACTACCGACCTCACGGTGCCAAATGGAGCTGGAAATAGTCCAGTGGGTGAGTGATTTCCTATTGTTTAACTTTGTAGGTGTTTATTTAATCTGAGCTACTACTAAATATTGTCCTGAAATACTGGCCTTCTATCTTCTGAGGGATAGTTTAACTAAAACTTAACAGTTTTCTGCAGTAGCCCCACTTCATCCCATACACATCAACTGTAAATTCAGTTATCCATTCATTCTTTGTGTATTAAGTACGCCCTTCATAACACATGTTTTTTTGTTTTGTTTCTAAAGACTATGTTGCTCTAATGCAACATTTATATTAAGATTTTTTTTTTTAATAATTTTTTTTTTAAGTCGGGCACAGTGGCGCAGGCCTGTATTCCCAGCACTTGGGGAGACGGAGACAGGTGGATCTCCATCAGTTTGAGGCCAGCTTGGTCTACAAAGTCCAGGACAGCCAGCTCTGGCTACACTGGAAAACAGAACAAAACAAAACAAAAAGAGTATTTTAAAATTTATTCTTTGACAGTATCTGTATATATGTATCCATACACACATATATTTAATATCTCTCACACACATAGTGGATATTGAGCATATCCTTGCCCACTGTTTCCATTCTTACTCCCCCAACATTTCCTCCATGTCTACACAGCCTCCTCTTTTCTTTTTTAAATAATCCACTGAGTTGAGTCAGTGCTACCTGCTTGCCAGTGGTTGTGAGATACACCAGAACATAGGCACCATACTAGTAACTACAACCCCAAAGAAAAATGACCTTCCCTTTCTCAGTATCTGTACTGCCAGTAGCTTCTCAGTTAGAGGGCGAGTCCCTAATGAGCCCCTCCTTAATTCATGCTAGAATGTTGAAGACTTGATCTCGTGTAGATAGCCATAGCCTCTGTGAGTTGGTGAGTGTGATGGCCATGTCATGTCTGGAAGACAACAGACATCATTTCTGAGCATTCCTTCCCATTCTCTGGTTCTTACATTCTTTCGGGCCCTTCCTGCATGATATTCCCGGAGCCTTTGTGGGGACAAAGATGCCTCAGTTAGGGTTGAGTCTCAACAGTCACTTATTCTCATCACTTCCCTTAGTCTCTGCATTGACTGCTGCCCACTGCAGAAACAGTTTCTCTGTCTGAGATTGACAGCAGCACTAATTTGTGGGTGCAAACATATTTAGAAGGCGTTTGACAACTGTCTTCTAAGATCATTTCTTAGGGAGATGCCTTCTGTAACTTCTGTCATCATTAAAGTTAAACTATTGGCAAAGTACTTTATTTTAAAACAGCATTAAATGTTTTCAGAAATTAGAATATAAAGAAATGTGTGCATACTACTCAAGTTAGAGATCTGAATGATTTCTCTTGAGAATCTGCTTTGGTGGTCATATGTAGAACATTTGCGGTTTGTCATAGTTACAGCCAAATAGGCTCTTTCACTTTGGGGCCACTCCCAATATATGTGGTATGGTGATTAAATCCAGAGCCTCACACATGCTAAACAAATACTGTTAAATAGCTATATTCCCAATATACTATGCAATAGGTTTTAAACAATGTATTAGCACCATCTAAATTTAAAAAAGAAAACATGGTATGACACAAATAGTGTGACTACTAAGAGAGACTGTTTATTTCTGGTTCTCCTTACTTAGGCTCCAGCCTGCTGGAATCTCTGTATTTTAAAGATAGGTCGTAATGGGCCTGGAGAGATGGCTCGGCAGTTAAGAGCATTTGTTGCTCTCTTGGTTTGGATCTTAGCACCCTTGTGGAGGCTTGCAACTATTACTCTAGTTCCAGAAGATCCAGTGCCTTCTGTCCATGTTGGGTACCAGGCACACATACAGTATACAATAATAAATACATAAAATAAATTATTCCAAAATAAACTTTGAAATATGCCATAACTCATCTTTCCAGTCCTGACATGTGAAAAGATAATGACTTTGGTGTTATTTCTGTGTTGTATTACATGATATGGTAGTGGACTTAATTGGGTTAAAAAAAAAAAAAAAACACTTTAGGGCCTTAAGAGATCAAATGTAAGAAAGTATATGAGGGTCTTACTATCAGCTATACATTAGGACTGCTTTGCTTGTACAAGTGTATTTTCAATTATTTATGGTTTATTTAATTGCAACTCACTTTTATTGTCTGAGTCCAATGTACGCTTTTCATACAACTTATACTTCTCTTTGACACCAATAAGAACCCACCAAGATTTGAGAAGGCCTTGTATACTCGTATCACATTGGCCTGAGACTCCAGAAGGCTGGAGCCTGTGTAAAGTGAGCCAGAAATAAACAGTCTCTCTTAGTAAGCCACATTATTTGTATTGTTTTTTGTTTTTTGTTTTTTTTTTTTGTAATTCAGTGATGATGGTCTATTATTTGGAACCTGTTGTGTGTAGTGGATTGAGAATATAGCTATTCAGTATTGTTTGTTTAGCATGCGTAAAGCTTTGAATTTAATCCCCAACATCATACACACAAAGTGCATGCTCTGTATCATTTTACTTAGGGCCAGTGTCTTGGTGTGAATGTGGGGCATACCTGTACCTGCAGCACACCAGAGGCCATATGAGACAAAGGGAATCCTGGATTCTAGACCAGCCTCATCTGTACAGCAAGTTAGCGTAGCCTGAATTCCAAGTAAAGTGCCAAAAATACATAGGACTTCCATTTGCTAGATTCCATCTAGTACTTCCCTTTATTAAGACACCCAAAAGCTGTGATGAAGCTGATGGTCTTAACATACGCTTTTGACACCTTGTAAATTAGTCGTTATGAAAAAGTTTGAAAGATTTCAGTGTTAGAAAATGTCTATGCCTCTAACTGCATTTCTAATTGCATTTCTGAGATGTTGTATTAAAAAAAAAAAAAACAAAGTATAGGTGGAGGGGCGGTTTATCAGTTAAAAGCATTGATTGCTCTTGCATAGGACCTAGATTCAGTTCCTAATACCCATGTAAAGGCTCAGGCCCATCCATAGCTTCAATGCCAGAGGATCTGATGCTGTCTTCTAGCTTCTGAAGGTTGCCAGGCGTTCATATACAGATACACTCATACACTGGCACACACATACACATAAAGGCAAAATGCTCATTCATATAAAGATAAGTGAATCTTTAAAAAAGAAAGTAGAATAGAATCTGTAAAGATTCATTGTAACCTTGCTGTAATGAATAATGGGCTGGAATTAGCATAGTCAGAGATGTGAAGTCACTTGACAGCTAGCTTTCAAAAGTGGCTTCACAGTACAGCATTAACAAGCATAACCATCTACTGTCTAATGCTAGGTGAGTAGTTGTCCTAAGGCCATGGAATAAACTGACCATCCACATGAACGCATCGCTTCAAATGATGGGATTCACATTCTCAGATATGAGCTGAACTGATATAACGGGCCCGCATATTTTTCCGTCTCTAGGGCCATAATTGAGATGAGGCCTGCTAAAATTCTGAGGGCATAGGTAAATGTTTTACACAAAAGTGGTTTTGTTAGAGTAATAAATCACCATGCAAACTGCAAATCAGTTTTAACAATAATCATGCTAACTTAAATTTATTCAATTAGAAAAGACATTTTCATTCCTCAATTGTAACTTATGGCAAGAAGAGTTGTATAACTACTTTACAGATCATTCTGCAGTGTCTCCATCATGGAATCCAAACAGAAGCTAAGAAGCAGGTATGGATGCAGTCTAGGAAATAACAAGCTTGCACTTGAGATTAGCTTCAACTTGGCAAGTTGCCAGGCACTTACATCATTCTGTAATCACTATCTGCTTTGGTGCCCTGATGGAACACTGAGATACTGTCCTTTTAACTCTCCTTCCACTCTTGTAACTTGATTCTCATGGGTTACTATGGCCTCATATAAAATGCACCATGGATTTCACATGGGAAAGCAGCATTATGCTTCTTGATGTTGTATGCCTCTAAATTACGTATTTGCACCATCTGATAATATTGAAATATTTGATTTTTTTAAAAGATTTTAGTGGAAATCTATGAAATAGTCTAAGTATTGGAGACTCATAACGCTTTCTTGCCATTATAATATTAAGAGAAACTTCATTAACCTTATTGCTTTGTAGTATAAAATTCTGTTAAGTTCGTCTAATTTTGAGTGTGTTATTTGTAAAATATTTTCTATCCTCCAGATAACAAAATCTGGATTAGCTCATGAGAGAGTTCTGCTCCATAAAGGAATGACCTGGAGGAGAGGTGGTGGTTTTTTCTCCCAACCAATGCTCTCCAAAACATACGGGAATGCAGGAAATTGCTCTGCATAGTGTGGAGAGGAGATTGAGCCCAGACTGAAAAAAATACCCTTCAAGACAATGAAAGCAGGCAGGAAATATCCTCACAAAGTTATCTAAAATAACAGTCCTCACAAAAAAGTAAAGTCTCACACAAATAAAATTGGTGTGTCACATAGTAAAAATTTTTGAGGAAGCAAAAATTGGGTGAAATAAGGGGCAGGAAAAGGGCATAGTCCTCTTCCAAGAGCACCTTCCAAGCAGAAGTGGGCAGTTTCTCGATGCCACTCTTTGCCTTTCTTATTTTTGCCATTGGTATTCAGGTGCCAGGCTGATTTATTTTATAGTTAAGGTGTGAAGAGTTTTTGCCGATTTTCCTTTTAGAAGACCTGATTATGTATGAGAGTGGGCAATGAACTCTCTTGCTGCAGTGTATCAGGACCTATGTGTTCTTTGTGCACTTTAATATCTGTTTTATGAACAATCAATGAAAAACAACCAGAACGACTGCCAACAAAATCAATGCTATTTGCAGACCCTTCTCAATAATAACCTAATAACCTGATGAATGCAAATGACTAATTCACCATTTAAGAGTACAGACTACCCAACCAAGCTCATGTAACTAGAAAAGACCTAAAACCTTAGAGGTGTCAGGAATTGTTTCATAAAACATTTACAATAGTTCTGCCCTGTTGATTAATTGTTCCTTTTGTTAATATGTTGTGACTCTCTTATCTCCTAACTAGGTTTGGTTTCAAGTCTTTGTTTTCAGATGTGAGGACTGGTGGGTCAGCTTGTTGGTAGCTTTATGTTGCTCTCAGGTTTTGGGTCTATTCTAGTTACATGAGTTTCTTAGAGGCAATTGAATAGCTACACCTTATTTTTAAGCACAATCAGTTACCCTGTCTCTTTAAATGGTGAATTAGTAATTTGCGTTCAGGTTATTGAGAAAGGGTTGCTATTACCATTGACTTTTGTTGGCAATTATTCCGGTTTGTTTTCATTGTTCATCTATTTATTTATTTGTTTGTTTGTTTGTTTGTTTATTTATTTATTCATTCATTCATCTATCTATCTATCTATTTATTTATTTTGTTCTTACAGTAGTATTGGGTGTTTGCTGGTTTTGGACTTTATTAATTCTCATCTCTTTGCCTTTTTAAATTCTTGTTTGCTTTCATGAAATATACGGTTTTTTTTGTGTGTGTGTTGTGCCTAAACTGTCAAACTTGTTTGTATTTAGTATTCCTTAAGCATTTACTATATTGCTGGTTTAATTGTCACAGATTGCTTTAACTGGTGTTTGACTTGAAAGATTCTTAGTTCTCCATCAATTTTAGTAGATTATTTTGCTGGCTTTGACAGTAATGGTTTAATTATAGCTTTTACTTACAGGCCTTGAAATATACTATTCTTTGCTTTCCTGCTTTTAGGTTTGCTGACCTACTGTTACTCTCATATTTCTGCTGCTTTTGGATGGTGTTTTTCTCTCACAGCTTTTTGGGTTTTTTTGTTTGTTTTTAGTGTGTGTGTGTACATATACATGTTTACATATGTGTACAAGTATATGTGTATGCACACATGTACCATGGCACATGCTTTGGGGTCAGAAGACAACTTTTAGAAGCCAGGTTTGTTTTTGTTTTGTTTTTTTTTTCTTTTTCTTTTTCTTGGTACTTGATAGGATCCAGGGATTGGAGACAGGTTGTCCTGCTTGCACTCAGTTACATTTACCTATGGAGCCATCTCATTGACTTTGCCTTATGGCTGTTAATATTCTTTGCTTTGTATTTTATTACAGTTATTTATTTTATTGTGTATATGTGTGGGCATATGTGTATGTGCCTCTGTGATATGTGTGTAAGCTAAAGTACAATCTGCTGGTGTTAGTTTTCCTTTCACTGTGTGGATCCTAGGGATTGTACTCAGATGGTCAGGCTTGGTGACAAGTGCTTTTACCCTCCCTCCCCTCGCCTGCGTCTTGCTAACTCTTCCTTGTATTTTTGACATTGTGGCTCAGATGTGTCATGAAGGAATTTTCTGGTCATGTCTTTTGGATGTCTAAGCACTTTTTGTGTTGGTTTGGGAAGTTTTCAGATAGTTCAGTGAATAGCTGTTTGAGCCATTGACTTTATCTAAGCTCTTTTTCTTTATTTTGGTTTCTTGTAAGTTTATTTTGTTGCCCTGTATTCACCTGTATGTGTTACTGTGTTAACCTTGTCTATCATCTTGAAAATTATTTCCCTGCTTCATCCTGTCTATGGATGCTTCCTGCCTTCTATTTGATATGATTGATTGGTTCTTTAGTTTCCAGAATTTCTAGTTGATCCTTTATCAGCTTCTCAATTTTTTTTACATACTTTTTCTTTCACATTTTAAAGTTTTTCCTCCAAGTGCCTTAATTCTTTAGTCCACATTGGCAAACTTTTTTTTCTTTAATTAAATCCCTTATTGATTCTATGGTCATTGACAAATCTTGTAAATAGAACTCACGTTTTCTTAAATTTCAGCTGTCTCATGGTCTTCCTCCAGTATTGAGAAGCTGTTAGTTTGTGGGTACTGTAGTGTAATATTACTCCTTTTCTTAGGGTGGGGTTCGAGATAGGGTTTCTCTGTGTAGCCCTGGCTGTCCTGGACTTGCTTTGTGGGCTAGGCTGACCTCCAACTCATAAAGATCCACCTGCCTCTGCTGGGACTTAAAGGCGTGCCCAGCATTGCTGGATGTATTTACGCATCTGTTGGAATTTGTGCTGCTCTGCTTTGTGGTTATCGCCCCCTTTCCTGTTGCTTTTGTTTGTGAGTCCCCTTGTACTGTTGTCTTCACTTGGATACAGGCCAGGGGAAATGGCAGTAGCCGCGATGATGGTGTGACAGCACCAGCCAGTGTCAGTGCACTGCAGAAGTCAGTGTACTCTTCACTGTAAGGGGGGACAGGTGCTAAGGTGGGGAGCACGTAGTTTATTTGCTGAGATTTGTTTTGTTTTGTTTTGTTTTTAGAGCCGTAGTTATCAATATTAAGTAGTGAGGGAAAATGTGAAGTTCGCAGTATGAAAAGCAGTAGAGAAAATATTGTTTATAGGGTCAAAGAAAAGGATAGACTAAGAGCCTATCCCAAGGATAGACAAGTTGCAGCATATCAGTCAAGTACTTAAAGTACAAAAATATACACACAAAACAAAAACATGTTATAAGGTATTCTTTTTACTTTTACACTTGTTTATTAGTAAGGGCCATGCAGGTGATAAGTACACGTGTGGAAGTCAAAGGCCAACTTAGAGAAGTCGGTTCTTTCTACCGTGTGGGTCCTGCAGAGCACACTCAGGTCGTCATCCATGAGAACAAGTGCCTTTACCCACTAAGAGCCATCTTCCTGCCCACCGCCCTGTTTTAGGATTGTAAGATACAAAAACAAAAGTAGAAAAGATTAAAATATATGACTACAAATGAGTATTTGTCAAAATAATAGTACAATATTAATGGCATTGTGTTTCATTATAAATGGTTTACTTTATATGTCAAACTTCATATGTCATAAACATAAAATTCTTATTTTGTTTCTAAAATTAATCATTTTTACGTTTATAAAAGTAATCATTTTTTAAACTGGTATATATAGGCAGTTGGGATTGTTTTAGATTTATTAATTAAACTATTTTAATGGCTCTTTACATGTTAATAAGCATTTTTTCCCTTTTTCCCAGGGAATGGATTCATAAACTCAAGGGCCTCTCCAAATTTGATTGGAAATACTGGTGCAAATAGTTTAGGCAAAGTCATGCCTACAAAGTCTCCCCCTCCACCAGGTGGTGGCAATCTTGGAATGAACAGTCGGAAACCAGATCTACGAGTTGTCATTCCCCCTTCAAGCAAGGGCATGATGCCCCCACTTGTAAGTTGACCCACGCTTTAGCTTTCTTCTTTAAACACGCAGTTTATAATAGTGTGTCTCTTCCTTGGAGGTTTTCTAAGCCTCCATCATGTCCATTTGTTTTCTAAATGAAATTTCTATCAAAATTAGAATCTGAAGAGAGACATCTATTTAAAGTGTTTAAAAAACAAAATTATGGAAATAAGTAAAACTGCTTAATGGTTTTTAGACATAAAACCTGAATGTGGAGAGCTCATTGTGCTCAATTTTAATTTTACCAGGCTAAAAACTTTCTTTAGAGATCTGATTTCAGTTTATGAATTAAACATGCCATTTCTGTTCTGTACTTGGCATACTTTCAATAATATATTACATTCATTTCTGTGAGGAATGAGGATGTTATTTGTTAGAAAATTCTGTATACCAGAGAGAAAAGTTGTATAATACCTAGGGAAGAATGCTTGCAAACTGAAAAGAATTATTTGTTAAATAATTTTCTTTGCTTATTCCTTTCAAATACCCTCTCTTTAACTAGAGTATAACACTCCCTACATTACTGCTTTACAGTTCAGTGTCACTTGCGTTTGAGCTGTCTTTTCATGTGAAGAACAGAATGTATATCCTCCTTAGCGTCTTGTAGACAATTGTAGAATACATATGCAAGTTTTAAAGACATTTTATTAGTCACAGCAGTTTGACCATTAGCATACTAAATAATACACCAGGTGCTCATCCTATTGTGCTGTTTCTAAGTTTGCCTTTTGTGTTAGGGGAAAGTAATACCGTGAAGCTGAGGTAATGGTTCTGCATTTGTGTAATTTTTTATTTATTTCAAAACCTCAGTAATATGTTAGGGTTATTTTCTCATTTAATTCTCAATTAGGTTAGGATCATGGCTAGGCAGAGATGTGAAAATGGAACTAAAACTTACTACTTGTCCAAGATAGAGGTACACATACCCAGGATCTTTCACTTATAACTTGTTTAAATCTCAAACTCTGCGTTAGATAAGGGGGAGGGAGTTCATTTAGAAAAACAGAAAATTTAGAATGAGTTGCTTTTAACTTCATACTGGAGAAAGCTTCAGTATAAAGTAGGCTTCCCTTGAGCCCATTTTATTGCTGCTAATTCAGTGGTCAGATGGCCTGGAAGCTAGAGGAAGATGGTTAATGTGGAGAAAGATAATGGTGCTAGTGTGATTAGTGAATTGCTGGAGGTCAAGCATGCAGTGACATTCCTGAAGCCCCAGTGTAGGATAAATCTGTCTTCTCTATAGGCTGTCCACTATGAACTACACAGTGCACCATGTAAAACAAGAGATGAGCTGGAAGGACCTCCTGAAAACCTAGTGTCACTGCAATGGGGACAAGCTTTGTCTGATCTTTTTCTTTTCCATGGAATAATTACTGTGAGGAGGTGAACAGCAAATATTGTCACCATTAGTGCACTGATGAAATCTCACTATATCTGAAAATGGAGAAAGAACAGTATTTCTACCATGGTTGGGAAGCAAGAAGACATGGTGGGTACCATGAGAGTGACAAGGTGACATAAAAGGCACTCTGGCACATCACAGAAGGGATGATAAAATCGAGTAGTCACTCGGGGACACTGGCCTACCCATTTTTCACCTCTAGGGGATTTGAATTAAAGGGTTTTTTTGTTTGTTTGTTTTCTTTTGGTGGTGGTGTTTTTTTTTGTTTTTTGTTTTTTGTTTTTTTTTTTTATGTGGAGGGTATGAATATACTAAAGGTACCACAGCAACAATAACTTTCAAACCCAGTCTAGTTCCTAAGAAAAATAACTAAAATTTTGCATTAGCAGGGCCAACAAAGTAAAACAGTAGGAAATACTTAAACTAAAATATGAGAACCAAAATCAGTATCTGAGGGCTGCAAGACTTTATCATGCAGTATAACATGTCTAAAAGTGAAGTTACAAAAAAGAGAACAGGAATAATGGAATAATGTCTAAGGGAGATTAAACAAAAAACACTAAGTAGGACAAATACTTCAGTACAGGTGTGCACACATACACACATGCACATTCAAACTGCTAAACGCGAAGGACAAACATTCTTAAAGACAACCAGTGAATAGAAACACATGGCTTACAGACCAAAGTATGGAAATTACGACCATACTTCACTTCACGCTGGTAAACAATGAAGCAACAATAAACACAAAATAAACTCAGATCTCCATACCCAGCAAAAAATGTTTTTAAAATAAATGCAAAGCCTTTCCAAACAGCAAACAGAAATTTATTGCCAGCAGAACTACTCTACAAGAAGTGTTAAAAGTCTTTTTGAAGAATTAATAATAGTGTCAGCAAAGTCTTGACTGGATGTAGAGAAAGAACAGAGGAAATTAATGAATGAAATAAACAGTTAATAAACCTTTTACTTTAGAAGAGCTTTTCACTGGAAAGATTACTAAAATCTTACAGTTCCCTGGTAACTCATACACAATTTCCTTTAACAGTTTATACTACTATCATATAGTTATTAACATTAATGACTTAATATTATAAACTATTATTAAATAAAGTTCATATTCACATGCATTTCCTTAGTTTTAAACTTCATCGTTTTCTCTGTGCCAGGAATCAGACTAGGTTATATAGCATAATTCATGTATTAATTATGTCTTCTTCAACTCTTGTTGGCTGTGAGAGTCTCTAAGACTATAAATGACTGTTATAAAATGCTGTTTTTGAGGAACACTGCTTATATATTCTGTAGAATGTCCTTCAGTTAAGGTTTGCTTGATGCTTTTTCAAATTAGCTTGGAGTTTTTTGGTTTAGGAAGGTAGGCCATATAATAAGGGTATAAGAGACATTTATGGAACATTTCACCAAAATAGATCATTCTGATTCATAAAATAAAACTTAGCAAATTTGCAAGAATTGACTCTCTGTCCATAATCAGTAGAATTCAGTAGAAATCGGAAAAATATCAGGAGGAAAAAAAAAACATACTTTAGAAATTTAACTATAAATTTACTCTTTAAAATAATGTTTTTATTAATTATTTGAGAATTTCATACAGTGTATTTTAATCATCTTCACTCCCTCCCACAACTCCATCCAGATCCCCTCCTACCCACCCAAATTTATATCCTCTTTAAAAAAGAAAACCATATAGGGTCCCCTTGTGGTGTCAGTATGGGAACTGCCCTGGAGTATGGTTGGCCTACCATGAATGATGCTCCCTCTCTCAGCAGCTGTCAGTTGCCTAGCTTCTTAGCTAGGTCTGGGACTTTCTGTCCACTTCCCCCCAACTCCACGCTGGATGTTTGTCTAGCTTGAGCTTGCACAGGCCTTATACATGCCTTTGCAATCACTGGAAGTTGATAATGTACAGCTGCTTTGTTGTGTCCAGAAAACACTGTTTCCTTGTAGCTTGCCCACCACCTCCAGCCTTTATAATCTTTCTTCCCCCTCTCCTATTATGGTCTCTGAGCCTTACACTTTTAAATAATCTGTGGGCCTCAGAAAAAATATTAAAGGAAGTTTAGCAGTACAAAGCTAGTAGTCTAGTGGTCAGCTTTCTGCTCCGTTGGAAAGCCATATTTTAGTTATATCAGGTGGTTACTCTATCTTTGGGGGATCTGATGCTTTCTTCTGGCCCCCACGGCACTCATGTTCATGTCCAAACAGACACAAATATGCATAATTTAAAGTACAACATTTTAAATCCACATAACTAACTGAAAATGAAAACACAGAATACTAAAATGTTGAGGACTATCTAGAGAACTTCTGGAGGAACTGTATTGCATTCAATCTTAAATTACAAAAAAAAAAAAAGGTCTGGGATTTCGAGATGGCTTAGCAAGTGCCTTTGTTAGGCTTTCCATTGCTGTGGTCACACACCATGACCAAAAAGTAAGTTGGGGAAGAAAGGGTTTCTTTGGCTTAGACTTCTATATCACCGTTCATCATCAAAGAAAGTCAGGACAAGAATTCAAGCAGTGAAGGAACCTGGAGGCAGAATGCAGAGGCCATGGAGGAGTGCTGCTTACTGGCCAGCAGTTCCCATGACTTGCCCAGACTGCTTTCTTTAGAACCCAGGACCACCAGCCCAGGGATGACACAACTCAGAATGGGCTGGGCCTTTTCCCACCAATCTCAAAATAAGAAAATGCCCTACAGGCTTGCCTGCAACCCAAAGTTATGGAAGCATTTTCTCATTAACATTCCTTCCTCTTAGATAACTTAAGCTTGTGTCAAATTGACATAAAGCTATACCAGCACAGCAGACAAAGGCACCTGCTCCCAAAGTTGACAGCCTGACCTCAATCCCAAGAACTGACATGGTAGGAAGAGAGAACTGTCCCCCACACATTGACTTTTGACCTACCTGTGTGTGCACATACGGAGAATAAATGTTTTTGATAAGAATGAAAAAAGGTCCCAAGTTAGTAGCCATAGCTTACACTTTCAGAAAGAAGAACAAATATAACCCAGAGCAGCAAAAGAAAAAAGAAAATAAAAAGCAGAAATTAAGGAACTTTAAAATGGAAAAAGAGTAGAGGAAAGCAATGAAACCAAAAGAACCTTTTGTTTCTCTTTTCAGATTAATTGATAATTTTCTAGGAATGTTGACCAAAGAGAGAAGACATGGGTTATAAATACCAAGGATGGAAAGGGGTGCAAAATTCAGATGATACGAAGTGATACTAGAATGGTACAGACAATCCCATAAATTTGATGGCTTAGGTAAAAAGAACAAATTCCTTGAAAGATACAGACTACCAGAAAATTACTCAGTTGACCTGAATGCTAAATAAAGAAATTGAATTCCTCATTTTAAAGGCTTCCAAAGTAGAAATTTCAGACCTAGATGGTTTCACTGGCAAACTCTATCAAGCATTTAAGGAGGAGTTAATAGCAGTTCTTCACAATTTCAGGAAAAAAAAATTCTCTTTTTATTATGCGGCATTCATAATAAGGCATTGTAAGAAAAAATAATCGTAAACTAGTATTTTTCATTTATTTATTAAGTTAATCTCTTTAT